TATTATAACCTCCCGAACGTACATAATTTTTGGTAAAATATATTCATTGTTTCCTCTGCTGAAAAAAATCGTTGTTCATCTTAATATTGTTATTCTACAGATAATGATTTCTTAATTCAACTGACCTTATTGATGCCTCTCTCGCAAAATACGCCATTTTCTGAGTGATGGAGTAGTATTTTAATCGAAAAAGTTGTCTGTACGTTAAAGCGATCCCTTACTTGCTGAAATTGTCATCCAACTGTTTTGTTCTCTTGGTGCGTTGAGTTGACAGCTGTGGTCACCAAGTAACGAAATTGTACGCAAACTGTGTGCTTTGGACACTCCAGAATTCCAAAACGCTTTCATGCAGCAAAACTGTCAACAGAAATTTAAATGAAAAGGGAATTTGGTGTCACCGCTGAATATATCTTGTGGTTTGGGTGGAGATATCGACATTCTGTGCTTACGATGAGTTTCATATGGAAGTTAAACATCCACTTTCCAATGAAACATTAATTTATGCTAAACAGTGAGACATGAATATTAATAAAGATCGGGAAAATTGGAAGTGTAACATTCAAAACGTAGCGTAGAAATAAACGCTTTTGGTATGGAAGGTCTCTTGAAATTCAAGGTGACATAGCAATCATCGATCTCGATGTTGGTTTTTCGATGGAAATGAAACTCAATTTACAGATAAAAGAGCGTCCTCGTACGCAACGCATTGTTTCTGAAATACTTCGAATAGACATTCAAGTTGTTGAAATTAATTGTTCTCTAAAGTACTTTTGATTATTAGAGCTCAATGTTCACATTACAAATAGGCAATTGTTAGTATGCAGATACAGTAAAAAACTTGAATTACTACGTGAAGGCAATACATTTATGAAAACGATAGTTCAATTAACACACTTTTCATATGAAAACGTGCAAAAAATTTTTTTTGAAAAGCTTTCACTTTTTTCAATGACTTTCACTATACACACCAAATACTTAATTTCGCACAAATGTGAAGTTGTATGATTGAGTCACAGTAAATGTTGAAGTATTTTTATTATAAAACAAAATTTATGACAAATG